TAGTTGATTGATAGGTTCAAATTGCCAAACTGTTTCAATAAACTGGAACCATAAGGTACAATCTAGCAGAAATATGTGTAATCTTACATTTGGGCCCCAAAATCAATGACAAATATACATGAACACCCCTGCTAGACCACAGTTTGTATGAAAATGTCTTTAGTTGACCCTGTTGGGTAGATGCTAAGATTTGCATGTAGCTACAATGAAAGCAGACATTTCAAAGTTACAGTAACAAAAAGATCTTGATGGGCTGGGGTTGTGGCTCAGTGGGAAAGAGCTTGCCTCACATGTTCAGGGCCCTGGGTTCAATCTTGATGAGATTAAATTAAGTAGTGGTTGTATAATGTCCATCTGGGTCTGACCACCTTTAGGACTTTTTGTTCCCATCTTGGACAGTGAAATATTGACAAATTAACTATTAACTCTTAACTCCCCAACTCAACCTATATCATAGACAAATGCATGTCTGTAAGGAACAGTAGAAGAAATTGGAGTTTTCCTGGAGGAGAGTCTGGAAGAGACATAAGAGCTATTCTCTGTTAAGTGGGAAGGTTTGTGTTGCAAAGGAAGGCAGATCTCATTCTCACTAGGTGGTTATTATGGAAAAGCCAAATTCAGTTTTGTAAACACAGCTAACATTTAGAAACTTGTATCCATATAGCAAACTCCATTGAGCATCACTTGTTGCCTGTTTTTGGAAACGTTCACACAAAAGTAAACATCCATCAAGAATGGTACAGGAGGGACTTCTACATAGGGTGGGATGTGGCATCACTTTTTTTTCAGCACTGAGGATTGAGCTTAGGGACACTCTACCACTGAACTGACCTTCATCCTTACCCTTTTTGTTTATTTTGAGCCAGGGTCTCGCTAAACTGCTGAGGTCGGCCTTGAACTTATGTCCCTCCTGCCTCAACTTCCCCAATAGCTGGGATTACAGGCATGTGCCACCATATACCCAGCTAACTTCATTTTTAAGAAATCTTCCTGGGCTGGGGATGTGGCTCAAGTGGTAGCGCGCTCGCCTGGCATGTGTGCGACCCGGGTTCGATCCTCAGCACCACATATAAACAAAGATGTTGTGTCTGACAATAAACTCTCTCTCT